TCCCAGCCAGCCCTGTCCCCCTCCCAACCAGTTCCCCCCCTCCCATCAAGTGTGTCCGGTATTTTCTCTAAACCTATCTGGCAACCCTAGCCCTGAGCCTTGTAGGCCAGATCCAGGCAAGCCAGGGCACTGCATCAGGTCCCTGGGCCTTAGGTTCCCCACCCCTGGTCAAAGTGAACATCTTCCACAACTGAGAATCTTTTCCTTTTGTCAAGCATTTTCTGCCTCCAGCTTTGAAGTGCATAGTCAAGGACCATCAGCACATCGTCCCCGTTGGCTTGGGCTGATTTTGGGGTGTTGCAAAGGGAGTATGTGCAATCGAAATAGACACTGGGAAACAGGATTGTTGAATGCGCGTGCGAGAACACAGTGCCTGATTCAACTTCCCCCAACAGTGCCGTAAATCAGGAGTAACTCCACGGAGCGCGAGCGGCGTGCGAGAACACAGTGCCTGATTCAACTTCCCTCGACAGCGCCGTAAATCAGGAGTAACTCCATGGAGCGCGAGCAACTTCCGCCATTATAAAACAGGGCTCAGTAAGAGACCAAAACATCAGGGTTTTGCCTCATGCCAGAAGTGATCTGTGATATCTCCCCTGTAAAAAGCACTACAGGGAAGGCGAAGAGGCATGCAGAAGGAAGGATGCTACATTTTTCCAGTCAATTTCAACATTAAAGAGTTTACATAAGATTCTCAGCAAAATCATGTTACGTTTCCTCACTAAGCCTCGATGGGCCAGAGCACAAGACAAATTCTAGTAATGTTCCCTCCCTTTAGTTCTTCCTCTCTCCACCAGCAGGAACACTGCAAACAACAGCAAAAGAGCTGCTTTCTCTGCTGAGGTTTCTGGCTTAATCTGCTTTCCCTTCACAGTGCAGTCATAGATCCTCTACTCCCTAGGAATGCCCGAGGTGCTACTGAGGTGTGTGGTCTGCTCTTTTCATACCCATCCAACCATTCCAAATGGAGCAGTTTATCTTTGTTTGGCCTAATGGCTAGGGCGCTAGACAGGGAGTCGAAGGCCTGTGTTCCATCCGTGTTGGATCTTTAGCCTGCAGCCTGACTTTCAGCAGGTCTGTGTTCCCCCTCCTGCGGTTTGTCTTTTTAGAATGTAAACTCCGTGTGGCTGGGATTGTCTCTTAGCCTAACAAGATGTACTAGGTACGTGCATGTAAACAGCACCTCACCTACTGGGGCCCTGATTTTAGCTGGATGCTGTTGGTACTAGAGTAATACAAATAATATCCTAGACTTTGCCACTTCCTTCTAAACTCCTGCCTTTTCATTTAGTTTCTTTTAGTTTCTTTTCTTTTCTCAGGCTGCACAAGCTTAGGGTTGCCAGATGATTTCATCAAAAATACCGGACACACTTGACATTACATCACAATCTAAATTACATCGTATTTAGAAAATACCGGACATTTCTATTTTCTCATTTCTATTTTCTCAATTTGTTTCCTGAACAGAAAGCTCAAATACTGGACTGTCCGGTTCAAAACCGGATACCTGGCCACCCTACACAAGCTAGAGGGCTGAAAAGCGGGGAAGCTACAATTCCAGCAGTCAGGTTGATTTACTGGTCTGGGATTTTTAGCCCTCTCTAGCACTTGGAACAGGATTAAGCTGTGGAAGAGCTCAAGGGACTGAAAAAGAAGAGTGTGACAATGGATGGGCAAGAAATGGGAGAAAGACAGGAGACCTGAAGCAGAAAAAAGGAAGAAGAGAACAAGGAATGGCTGGAAGAGCACAAGAGAAAAGCAGAACTGGCATGTATTCTTTTGGGTTTGTAAAATACAGTACGGTATGGAAGAAACAGCTCTTAAGTGAGGGGCTTGGCTTCTCTGACTTACCCTGCATGACACCATCGTAAATCCAACGTGACTCTTGAATTACAGATATGTAAGTGTGAGCAGAGGTTGCTCCCCACTCATGTGGCAAATCCAACGTGACTCTTGAATTACAGAGATGTAAGTGTGAGGAGAGTTTGCTCCCCACTCATGTGGTCATTTGCGCTCATTCCACATGCAATATAGAATTTCATGCTGGAGATGCTAGAGATTTCAGTGTGATAAACTATGGAGGTGGATTGGAAACTATAGCAACGTGGAACAGAAATCATGAATGGTTTCAATCCCCTGCAGCATGCTACTTGCAGTTCAGAGGAAGGGAATACAACAGGTAATCCCTCTCCTGTCATCCATTTACACAGAAACAGAGGCTAGAGACACCATCCCTACCCATCTTGGCTAATAGCCATTGATGGACCTAACCTCCAAGAATCTATGTAGCTCTTTTTTTAACCCTGTTAAAGTCCTAGTTTTCACAACATCCTCTGGCAAGGAGTTCCACAGGTTGACTGCGCAGCATGAAGAAAAACTTCCTTTTGTTTGTTTTAAACCTGCCGCCTATTAATCTCATTTGTTGACCCTAAGTTCTTATATTATGGGAACAAGTAAATAACTTTTCCTTATTCACTTCTTCCACATGTCATGATTTTATAGACCTCATCATATTCCCCCTTATTCTCCTCTTTTCTAAACTGAAAAGTCCCAGTCGCTTTAACCTCTCCTCATATGGGACCCGTTCCAAACCCCTAATCATTTTAGTTGCCCTTTTCTGAACCCTTTCCAAGGCCAAAATATCTTTTTTGAGGTGAGGAGACCACATCTGTACACAGGATTCAAGATGTGGGCGTACCATAGTTTTATACAGGGGCAGTAAGATATTCTGGGTCTTATTTTCTATTCCTTTCCTAATAATTAATAATAATTATGGTTATAATATAATGTCTGCTTAGAGGATGAAGCTCACACCAACACAGAAAGGCTGGGCATAGCTAAGTGAACCATGTAATTCATACACTTAAGCCTAAAAAGGTCTGGAAAAGGTGGGCCCTCTGCATTGAGGTAAATTTTACCTGGAGTGAAAAGAACCCACTTCCGCTTGGGCCAAACACTGTAGTCTCTATTCAGAAAAACAACCTTTGAAATCAAATGGATGTTTTGCTCCATCGGGATTGCATGATTAGGCCCCCAAAGAGGTTTCAATATACACACGGACACTGCATTCATTAAAACCAAGACAACTTTCCCCCCAAAGCACTACACCCAGCTGACATGCGGCCATCTCTGGGTTGGAAGGGGACACTCACCTGGCACATTGCCCGGGGGAACTTTGACCAAACCATTATTCTTACCTCTGCACCGTGGGCAAGCTTCTTGTCAAGAAAACTGTATCGAACTCAGACGAACTGCTACGTTAATGCTTCAGGGATTTCAAAAATGAGACCCTGGCAGGGGTCCAGCCAGCTTGAATTTCAGACCACTAAATCATTCAGCTCTGTATTTGTATGGCAAACATTTGTATGTATTTATATGAGTATTTACATTATCCCCCATATAAGATAATATTCTTGTGTATTTCAATTAGAGGATGCTAGGAATACCCTGAGAGTAGCAGATTGCTTGTAACTTTGGCCCTATGAATGTACCCCCAATGCAGTGGAAAAGCCTGTAAAACCCACATATAAAACCAGAGGGACGAACTCTTTTCCCAAGTATGTAGGCAAGTAAGTTACTAGAAATGTTCCCATTTAGAACAGCAGAGAATTTGGCACAGATAAGCAGTTTTACTTAAGTTCAATGGAGCACCACTCTTTCTGGCTTTATGCAGAAGCCAAATGCTTACATACCACATATTCTTCACCCCAGTCTCCTTCTCCCCTGAATCCCTTAGCGTCTTTTTTAAAGGAAATATTTATAATTTTCACACGTTCTTCCAGAAAGCTCCTTTTCCTGATGAAGTTTATTTTGTGTTATGTATATCTCCACTTTTCTCCCCCGTCCTGAGGACCTTGTTCAGTTAGTGGAAGTTTTGTACAAAAATGAAGAGAGGTTTTCCTCTCCATTCCTACCATTTATAGATCACCTTGTGCCTTGCAACTTGTGTCACAATAACAGCTTCACCACCTCCCAGACATCGTCTTACAGCTAAATTTGGCTCTACAGTAGCCCTTTCTCAGTTTCCCTTTTGAAGCACCTAAAAATAATCCAGAAAGATTTTCTCCAAACTAGTAACACACCTGCTTGAGACTAGCTTAATAACACACACCACACAAAAGTTCATATATTAATGACTCATGTAGTCAGGCCCTCCTGCTGATACATTGAAAACTAGAATTGATTAGCAAATAGTTTCCCCAGACTTTTTGGCAAAATATGAAATACCAACATATTTTCATCAAAAATTTCCACAGAAAAAAAATGGAAAAAAATCCATTGAAGTGGAAAACCAGCTTTTCATAAAGAAAACCCCTTCCACATCCAAAACCGATTTCAGTGGAAAATTTTGCAGCGGCCTCTTCCATTTCAGCTTCCTGCTCATGCACAGAAGTCTCTAACATGTAATTCTTTTAGTGAAGCGCTTGACCATGCATTATAGCATGCAGGTCCAACTCTTGCATGTATCAGAGGGGTGGCTATGTTAGCCTTCAGAGCCCTGGCTATAATGCATGGTCAAGCGCTTCACTAAAAGAATTACATGTTAGAGACTTCTGTGCATGAGCAGGAAGCTGAAATGGAAGAGGCCGCTGCAAAATTTTCCACTGAAATCGGTTTTGGATGTGGAAGGGGTTTTCTTTATGAAAAGCTGGTTTTCCACTTCAATGGATTTTTTTCCATTTTTTTTCTGTGGAAATTTTTGATGAAAATATGTTGGTATTTCATATTTTGCCAAAAAGTCTGGGGAAACTATTTGCTAATCAATTCTAGTTTTCAATGTATCAGCAGAGGGGCCTGAATACACGAGTCCCGTGGCTACAGATGCAAATACAGATTCAAATTTAGTAGCCGCACAGGGCTCTATTAGTCTGTATCCACAAAAACAACCAGGAGTCCTGTGGCATTTGAAAAACTTAACAGATTTGTTTGGGCACACACTTTCCTGGATGTTGGCCTCCCAAAGCGGATGCCCAAACAAATCTGAAGCAAAACACAGGACTATGTAGCACTTTAAAGACTAACAAGATAGTTTATTAGATGATGAGCTTTCGTGGGCCAGACCCACTGAGGAAGTGGGTCTGGCCCACGAAAGCTCATCATCTAATAAACCATCTTGTTAGTCTTTAAAGTGCTACATTGTCCTGCAT